TAGTAATCTGTTAGATCGGTTTAACTGTTATATTATATGAGCTAGAATATGATACTTATGTGCACATGCCTGTTTGGTTGGGGGTTAGGTTGAGGCGGTCCCGCTTTGTGTTGTAGGCCAACATACCCGGTTTGCGGTCCGGATAGGCTGTAGGCCCTGCGAGGCGGTCCAGTCATGCCGAAGGCTCTGGAGCGGTCCAGTCAGGCTGAAGGCTCATTATGCATGTTGTTTTGTATTTGTCAAGATGGTATGATTATGATTATTGTTATATGAGGTCGGTATTATGGGGGTAACTCACTAAGCTTTCGGGCTTACAGTTTCAGTTTATTGTTTCAGGTTTAGCGGATGGTCGCGGGTAGGCGAAGGCGTGAACGTACACTTCCTTGATTGACGATTATGATTTCTGGGAACTTTGATGTATAATCTATTTTGATAACAAATTGTAATAATTGAACGGTTTCAAATGATTTAAAAAGTTTTAAATTGGCTGGAATTTTATGGGTGTTACACACATGGCACTGCTAAAGTCCCGCGGATGAAACTCTAGTTGCTGGTTGATAGATTCTCGAACTGCCAACATCAAACAACACCCAATTCATAATTGGGTTCAAAGCCCAAGGTCCAACTCACACTCTAAAGGCCCAAAAGTCAAGTATAGGATAAAGCCCAACATATGGCCCAATTTTCCAAATTGGGCCCAAAACTTTACATTGTCATAATTAAAGGCCCAACTACTTAGTCCAATCCAAAAATTTGGCATTTCCAATGGCCCAATACCATATAATCATCAAGGCCCAAACTATGGCCCATCTACGGCCTAATTTTCCAAATTGGGCCCAAACCATCATATGGGCCTTACCCTAAAGCGCATTAAATTATTCTAGTCTATTTGCTTGTTCTTGGATGATTCATTAATAACCCTAATAACCAAAACCCAATAGATAGGCCCAACTCAAGGGCTATTAAAAATTAGGGTTTCTTACATGAAATGATGATTGAGGTTAAGTGTTTCTACTTAACCCATTAAGGACTTAATCCATCAAGTCCAATATTGCTTTAGGTCGATTTCAAATTATTATTAATTAATATATTAAGTTTAGTGAATGATTCAAGTACGGGTTCCGATCAAATTCCCAAAATTAGGGTTCCACATAAAATGACAACTAGGGTTAAGTGTTTCTCACTTAACCCATTAAGGACTTAATTCATTAAGTCCATCACTCTTCTAAATAATTCATATGATGTGATTGGGCTTTACACACAACTCCCATTCCAGTGGCCCAAAAGTGGGTCCCGATAAGTCCAAGGCCCATAAATCTAACATTAGGGTTTTCTAAACCCTAATTAGGGTTTCCAACCCCATCTTAGCACAATAGGCCCAGTGGCTAAGTCTTATGTTCAGTTAAGGTTCATTAGGATTATTAGGGTTTCACTAGGCCCATTAGGGTTTTAGTCCTTTTGTCCAAACATCTCAACGAATCAAACACAACAAGCACACCACCACCCAACACGGCAGTTGGCGGTAGGAGGCGGCAGCCACCACCTCACGGTGGTGGTTATGGTTTCTTTTCACTATTCTAATTTCTAATTACAGTTTACAAGGCATAATCCAAAAATAAACATACACTAAGCTAAGCTAAACACACACACACACAGCCACCTGGTAGTGGCCGACGTTGGTAGATGGTGGCAACCACCACCTCACGGTGGTGGTGGCCATTTCTTAGCTTTCCGACCAAACAGTACATACACCCACACTAAGGCTTGAGAAACGGTCCCTACCACCCACCTGGTGGCTGACAGCGACGACAACGACAACACAAATGGCGGCACACCAGTGGATTACGGTGACAGCCACCATGGTCGGCTTCCATGGTGGTTCTTCACGGCTCCTACTCGACAGAGGCCCAAACCTACGAACACAACAACCCCTCGAGGTGGCAAACGATGACCGAAGCGACATACTTGAGCCATACAAAATCAACGGTCGCGACTGAGAAATAACACCGGGAGAACAGTGACGAGGATGAGCGGAGGCCGCCGTGGACCGAAGCAGCGTTAATTGCCGGCTAGCGGCGCCTTCGTCTTCAACTGATGGAGCGTAACGGCGGCAGCGGACACACCTGGAGCCGATTGTCGACTTGTTCTAGCCGAAAGCTAGGGAATGTGACGCGTTAGCGGATTGGAAATGAGCTAGGCGGTGGTGTCCGGTGGTTAACGACCTCAACAGAGGTGGTGGTGCGGCGCCGGAGGACGAAGAGGCGAGAGAGGCGGCTGGAAGAGGAGGGAAGGTGGCAGCTGCTTATCATTTAGGGTTAGGGTTGGGACGGGGGTAACGGGTTTAAATACCCCGATCCCCTTAACTAGTTTCCATAATAACAAGTCTAGTCCCCCCCCCCCTCCCTCATTTCTTTCAAAATAAATCCCTATTTTACCTTTTTAACCCCAGCACTCTAAAGTCCTTACAAATTGGATCCGAAATTTACCATTTAACCCTTGCCTACCAAAATTTATCGAAATTAAGTCCTAATAATTACCATGCAGCCCCTCCCTCCACAAAACATTTTCAACTTATGTCCAGAATTTACTATTTAGCCATTCCTTCCATAAATCCTTTCATATTAGATCCAAATGAGACTACCCCCCCCCCCCCCCCCCCCCAATTGTCTTCTAAAAATCTTTACAAAATAAGTCTCAAAATTACACTTTAACCCCCGAAACTCTAAATTATGTCATTTGGCCTCCCGAAAGCAACACTCTAGTAATTATTATTCGATTTTCGGCTATAATAATATTACTTCTCGGGCTACCGGGTTTATTATTTTAATGATTCTTCTTAAAACGGAATGTTACAGTTAGTCCCTAGTTTAATCCATAAAAACAAAACAACCCCCCTTAAACCAAATCATATACATCCATAAGTTCCTGAATTCATAGTTTCGATCCTTCCTTTAAAAAATGGTTACAAAACCACTAAAAGTTCATTTCTTAATTATTACTTATTACCAATCTTAAATGTTTTAACCATTAATTGTTATTAAACTTATTTATTTATTTATTTGTATTTATACCAATAGCCCTTTATGCAGTTAACAAGAAAAGAAAAATAAAAATATCGGAAATTGAGATGTTACACTAAAACTAAGAAACTTTTATTAATAAACCACACGAGTGTGACCTCTAATATTATCAGTAGGGATAATGACTTGAAAGGGTAACGAACTTTCGACTTTTATCACATTTAGTCACTAAACTTTTTTTGGTTATCTATTTGCCATTGAACTATTGAAACTATTCACATTTTACCCTTATGACCGGCTGTTTCCGGTCATAACGGCAAAATGTGAACAGTTTCAATAGTTCAATGACAAATAGATAACGAAAAAAAGTTTAGTGACTAAATATGAACAAAATCGAAAGTTCGTTTCCTTCTAAAAAGTTTAATGAATAAATGTGAATAAACCTCCTCTTGTATTATGTTTTAGAAAATTATTTATTTTTGTTAAATTGTAACAACATTTGTTGATGAAGAAATCTATGAAATAAAAAAAACAGAAAACAAAAACAAAACAAAAACAAAACCCTGAAAATATATTTAAAAAAAACAAAAAACCAAAACCGAAATAAAAAACCAATGGTTTGACATTTTCCAAAATAAAAAATCAAAATTTCCAATCTGATTTTGGTTTTACAAAAAAATGAATCATCCTCACTGATATGAATTATGACCATTGGTTTGACATGCGAAATTTGTGACATCCCATGAATATGTAGTTACAATATCGTCTGAACTCGTAATTCATAGTAAGGGGTTAGAGTATCGTCACATGAATACGTAGTTACAACATCGCTTGAACTCGTAATTCATCACATACAGGTTATGGGCCTACTGGTGTTTCCACTGGGTTGTCTAGAATAGTCCGTGGTCGCCATCTATACTCTGGTAGATGACTACATCGCCACATTGCTGGTTAAGGTTATGGTATCTCCTTTCATCCTACATCACATATTCATCATCTTCTATTTACCTAATTATCACCACCTTTCTATCATCACCTGTCTCCCATCATTTTATTTCATCACACACCAACTATTTCATCTATCCATGTTTCATCCGCAACATATTTGTAGATATAAAATAAATATACCGTTTAAATCTTCTAAAACATGTATAAAATCGTTCATCCAGCATAGACAACAAGTATTCAAATAATATGCACACATAGCACGTAATTTATATAAAATACTTCATATCTATGTGTAAGATGAAAGTAACTATATATATATCATAAATGCTTCCTAACTTTGAACCCCAAGGTTTACTCTACTAAAGCTTCATATTCTCGAATCTCTGAACCTAGAAGGGTCCAGATCTATCACACCAAAAAGCTCAAGATATCTCTTCCTCTCACTCTACACATTCAAGCTCGCTAGGGTTCTCACTTATGGGAAAGGTAGTCGCAATTGAAGGTCATAAGTGCCTTTAAATATGGCTCGAGCCCAAAGATTTAGGGTTTCTGCCAACAGCGTGGACTCCTCGAGTCGCCTCACCGACTCGTCGAGTCCATTCATTAATCTGAGTCATCAGTCGCGACCTTACTCGACGAGTTGAGGCGTCAACTCATCGAGTCTCTCTTCTTAACTCAAAAGAAAAATACTTAAATGATGATACCTGGAAATCCGAATGTTACATTTTATTTTTTTATTTCATACATTTCTTCATCAACAAATGTTGCTACAATTAAACAAAAATAAATAATTTTGCTAAAACATAATACAATAGGAAGTTTGTTCACATTTAGTCATTGAACTTTTTAAAGGGAAACGAACTTTCAATTTTGTTCACATTTAGTCACTAAACTTTTTTTCATTATCTATTTGCCACTAAACTATTGAAACTGTTCATATTTTACCCTTATGACCGGTAACGGCCGGTCATAAGGGTAAAATGTGAACAGTTTCAATAGTTCAATGACAAATAGATAACGAAAAAAAGTTTAGTGACTAAATGTGACAAAAATCGAAAGTTCGTTACCCTTTCAAGTCATTATCCCTTATCAGTATTATATATACTTTATTTATAAATAAAAAAGTTACTTTTTGTTTTAGATATACAAAATTAAAATATAATTCATAAACAAATAAGATTTGTGGAAAGACCTAGAGCAACCGATCAATACTTCTACATGTCTAAGTGGGAAAAAAATCCAACCTTAGAGATCAAGTTTGCCAATCGATCGACCTGATCACCCTTGTTAGTTCTGACACGTTGGATGAAAACAATGAAAGCTTTAGGGTTTTTGATCCCTTCCTGAACCTGGCCTGAACCGTTTCCATGATTTCATGAGCTTTCATTAACTACCTCCCGCGGTGTTAATTGCGTGGGACCTAATTAGGTCGATACCAAATCATCTCATAATGGCATCGCCTTTATTGAGCACCTGCAGCAAGATATATGATAAAGAGATCAAACTGCATGGTGAAAGAGAAAGTTATGTATCGGTGATATTGGCGGCAGTCGGCGGAGCGTTAATGTATTGGTGTAGAGATTATTGATGGATGAAGTTCAGAAAAAAGAGGAAGAAGAAACTTCAACATAAACAATTAATTCAGGTCACCTTTCAAGCTGTTGCTCTGATCACCAATATGATTAGCGTGTCTCTGCTACAGCAACCGACACTTTGTAATCTATAATGTTGGAGAAGGTGATTACAGCTAGGTTGAAGGACTAATGGAGAGGGTGATGATAGTTGAAGGAATAATGGAGGTGGCTTATATTAACTTAATTAATACAGGTTGCTGATCGAATCGTACATCACATATGAACGCTTTGATCAAGCTAAGCATAAGTTTATAAAAGACTTTTTGGGTTTAGGTTTAATTTCAGATCAATATTGGTTTATACTTGAAATTAGATTTTGGTTTAAATTTCAATTTTATTTGCGTCTGATGTTGACATTTCTAATAGAAAAAATAATTATTGATTAGTATAAAATAAAATAATGACAAGTCAGAGTCACAGAAAGATAATTTTATCAATATAATAAGATAATATCTCAACATTCCACTTGACAACTTTATAAACCACCTGTATTTCAAATTATAGAATGATATAAAGTATAAAACGTAAAAGGCGAAAGAAAGAGTTTTTAAATCTATAGAATACAAATAAAAATAAAAATACTCAATATAATATTTATAGTTAAAAATATATAAATATTCCCATATATTTAGGATCCGACTCTGTAATTTTTACAAGTTCTGGTTCTGTCATCTTCCTCCTACAAAATTTACATCACACCCCTTAGCCATCACTACTTCATGATCTTTTTCCAATGATCGAAGTATGTGTTTATGGTGTGGGAGAGAGAAAAAGTTTAATCAGACCAATTTGCATGCTTTTTATTTTTACCAACTGAAACTACGACGTACGGCTACCTCACTCAGATAAACCTAATAACTCTTCAAGGTATTCCCTACCCAAGTCCTCCAAAACCACGACGTTTTCAACCTTTTCCTTCTTCTTCTTCATCATCGTCGATTTCCTCTTCATGGTGTGTGTTTTCTTTAGTGCCAATACCGGCGAACTACCTTCCTCGTATTTGTACCCCATCTTTCTTAAAGATTCATAAACCAATTCTTCCGAGAAATTAAGGACCGCTGCAGAACCACGGAGGGCAAACGCCGCTTGGTCGTACGCCAGAGCCGCCTCCTCCGCCGTGTCAAATGTCCCCAGCCATACCCTAACCCCGTTTCGTGTGGAGTCACGTATCTCAGCCGCGTACTTCCCCCATGGTCGCCTCCTCACGCCTCTGTAACTACACTCCTTCTCCGGATCGAGACACTCTTCCACTTGAATGTGGTTTGTTGGATCATGTGGAGGTTCAGCGTCGGCGAGAACTCCGAAGAGAAGCATCTCTTGGGAGTCATTTTCGTTG